TGGAATACGGGGTTTTGAACAGATATAATTTAATCCACTGGCTCTAACCAACGCAGTGTGCGTTCGACTAGCTCTAGTACTCTAAGTAGGGCGAAGGCCTGCGGCAGATCGAAGTACTAGAACTAGCGTTCGACAAGCTTATCACTCGATATATCATTGAGCTGTGAGATCAGTGATGTGATATGCGCTGTAAAGTTGTAGTGGTGATGATCTAGAGTGAACCGTCTCTAGCGTACACACAGATCCACCATATCTACGCGTGTGAGCTACAAACTAATTATCACTCGGTGTGTCATTGAGCTGTAAAGTTGTAGCGGTGAGCTCTAACTGCCTATAGTACACTATTTATACACATACTATAGTATACTATTTATACACACACTATAGTACACTATATATACACATACTATAGTATACTATATATACACACACTATAGTATACTATTTATACACACACTATAGTACACTATATATGTGTGTAAATGTGCAGCGGCGTGCGTGTGTCATGACTGTGGGCTGAATTGCTCCAAGTGCCTGTGCTCCCTGTGCTCTGTGTGTCCCTGAGAAAGAACACCTTGCACTTGTCTCATCACATCGTAGCTGTGCGGTCAATCTCTTCTCTTCTAATGTCTTATTTTCGCACTATTATTATATCATTATTATTATGATATTATCATATATTATTTTAAAATGCGACAGTGCGCTGCTGTATTCTATGAATGCTAAATGTTGCATTGTTTGTTGTAATGTTCGTTTTTTTAAATCTTGTTAATTTTTTACGAGGAAAAAACGAAAAAATAATCATTAACGAAAAGAAGTAATTTTAGGTCATTTGCGCTTGAGTGTGGATGCACGCGCGCGCGTGCGTGTACGTGTATATATACATATGCATGTTTGCGTCGTGTGCACTCGCACGTGCGCGCGTGCGTGTATGCGTGCCTGCGTGCGTGCGCGTGACTGCGTGCATTCGTGCGTGCGTGTGCGTGCGTGTATGCGTGCCCGCGTGTGTGCGCGTGCATTCGTGCGTGTACGTGCGTGTATGCGTGCATGCGTGCGTGAATTTATGCGTGCGCACGCGCGCGCGTGGGTCCGGGGCATTGTAAAGAAATTGGTCTTCCGTTTGCGTGCTGGGGCGATAAACTGCCGGGCAACAGAGAGATGATTTCATACAAGGTTGGCTGATTGGTTTGGTCTTGGATTCAGACCTCGACTCACACAGCAGCACCTGCGCAAATACGATTATAAGAACAAGAAACTTAGCCGATCCTATAATGTATATATCCCCAGGTTTCTGCAAGTAGTTAGAAGGCAGGCACGCAATACTACCAACACACCACCAGCAGCAGCTAGCAGCAGCAGGCAGGCAGCACCCAATACACGGAAGCACGCACCACCACCAGCAGGCAGCCAATAACTACCGAACACCACCACCACAGCAGCAGCGAAGCAAGCAAGGCAGCACAATACTACCAACACCGACCACCAGCAGCAGCAGGCAGCAGGGGCCGCAATACTACCAGCCACCACGCACCAGCAGGCAGCTACCAATACTACCAACACAACACCGACCAGCAGGCAGCAGCAGCACTGAATACTAGCCGACACCACCAGCCAGCCAGCCAGGCAGCAGCAGGCGCCAAGCAATACTCCGAACACACCGAACCTACCAGCAGGCAGCAGGGCAGGGGCAGCAGCACGCAATACTAAGCGCAACGACCACCACGCAGCCGACCCAACCACACCGACCAGCAGCAGCAGCAGCACGCACGGCGAATGACTACCAAACCGACCACACCACCAAAGCAGCAGGCAGCAGCAGCAGCGAGCACACAATATAGCCAACACCACCCAGCGCAGCAGCAGCAGGCAGCAGGCAGCAGCCAATACTAGCGCAACACCACCACCACGGCACCAGCTAGCACTAATACTAGCCGTAACGACGCGACCACCTAGGCAGCAGCAGGCAGCATGCAGGCACCAATACTACCGAACGACTACAACACACGCACTCGCAGCAGGCTACGCAATACGTACCAAACACCACTACCAGCCAACCAGCAGCAGCGAGGCAGCAGCAAGCAGCAGCAGGCAGCACCTAATACTACGCAACGACCACCACCAACGAGGCAGCAGCAGGCAGCAGCAGCCAGGCCGTAGCAGCACCTAATACTACAACACCACCAAAACCAACGAGCAGCAGCAGCAAGCAGCAGGCACAGCAGGCAGCAGCGGCAGCACCAATCTACGCCAGAACGACCAGCACCACCACCGACGCACCACGAGCGAGCAACAGTAAGCAGCAGCACCAATATACCACCACAACGTCACCACCACCATGGCAGCAGCAGCAGGCAGCAAGCAGCACCAATACTACCAGCCCACCAACCAACCACGCAGCAGCAGCAGCAGCAGCAAAACAAACCAATACTACCAACACCACCAACACCAGCAGCAGCAGCAGCACCAGCACCAATACTAGCCAACACGACCGACCTACCACGCAAGCGAGCAGCAGCAGTAAAAGGCAGGCAGCAGCACCAGTACTACCAACACGCACCACCAGCCAGCCAAACCCCACCAGCAGGCAGCAGCAGCAGCAGCAGCAACAGCAATACTACACTGACGCACCACCAAGCAGCAGTAGGGGCAGCAGCAGCAAGGCAGGCAGCAGCAGTAGCAGCAGCAAGCAGCAGCAAGTAGTAGCAAGCAGGCAAGGGCAGTAGTTAGGCAGCAGCAGCAGCAGTAGTAGGCAGGTGGGCAGCAAAGCAGGCTCGTAGTAACGTGTAACAGCTATCGCAGCTGCTAGCATGAAATGACGGCAATAAATATAGTGAGAGAGAGAAAGATGGGGGGGAGAGAGAGAGGGGGGGAGAGAGAAGAGAGAGAGAGAGAGAGAGAGAGAGGAGGAGAGAGAGAGAGAGAGGGAAGAGAGAGAAAGAGAGAGAGAGCAGAGAGAAAGAGAGAGAGAGAGAGAGAGAGAGAGAGAGAGAGAGGAGAGAGAGCGAGAGAGAGAGAAAGAGGAGAGAGAGAGAGAGAGAGAGAGAGAGAGAGAGAAGAGAGAGAAGAGATAAGGCTATGCCTAACTCACAGTCAACGCACTATAGTGCAGTAGACCCAGTTATACCCCCACCGCTAGAATGCGCTCTGTCGCATCATGCATCTCCGCCATCATTACACGTGACCAACTCAGAACCTACCACAGGCAGGCGCGCGTCCAAGCCCGCTCCTCCTTGCTCGTGGATCGGCGCCTCCCGCTTCCCTGCCCCCTGCCCGTTCGCCCGCCGTCGCCTGCGCCTCTCCGTGGTGCATCCGACCTCGTTGCGATCATCGCCCGCCGCCGGCTCCCCTCCCTCCCTGCCCCTCCCTCCCCTCCCCTCCCCTGCCCGCTCCCTCCCCTCCCCTGCGCCCTCCCCTGCCCCTCCCCCTTCCTCACGCCTCCTCCCCTCTCCTGCCCCTCTCCTCCCTTCCCCCGTCCCCCCGCCTCGCCCTCCCCCTAGCTGCACCGCCTCCCCCTCCCGCTGCCTGCTCCTCCGCTCCCCCTCTCCTTCCCCCGCGCCGCCTCCTGCTGCCCTAGCCTCAACCCCGTGGCTGCCCTCCGCTCTCGCTCCGCTGCTCCGCTCCCCTCGCCGCCGTGCCCCCGCCTCGCCCTCCCCTGAGCGCTGCACCCGCTCCCCCTCCCCCGCCTCCTCCTGCCCCCTCCCCTCTCCTTCGCCTAGCCTCACCCCTGCCCCCGTCTCCGCCCTCTCCTCCGCCTCCCGCCTCTCCTGGTCCCCCGCCGCCTCCTCTGCCCCAGTAGCCTGCACCCCTCTCCTCCCGTCTCCTCCCCTCTCCCTGCGGCCGGCTCCCCCTCCGCCGCCGTCCCTCGCCTGAAGCCCTGCAGCCGCCTGCCCGCTCCCCGCCTGCTCCTCCGGCCTCCCCCTCTCCTTCCCCCCGCCGCCTCCTTCCCTAGCCTCACCCCTCCTCGCTCCGCCTCTCCTCCCTTCCCTCCCCTGCCGCCCTCCCCGCGCTCTCCCCTCCCCTAGCCCTCACCCTCGCCCTCCCCGCCTCTCTCGTCCCTCCCGCTCTCCTTCCCCCGCCGCCGTCCTCGTCCCCTAGGCCTCACCCCTGCTCCTGCTCCTCCTGCCTCGCCCTCCGCCTCTCGCCTCCCCTTCCCTCCCCTCCCTAGCCTCACCCCTCGCCCGCTCGCCCCGCCTGCTCTCCCCTCCCGCGCTCTCCTTCCCCGGTCGCCGGCCTCCTCTCGCCCTAAGCCTCACCCGCTCTCCTGGCCGCCTCTCCTCCCCTGCCTCTCCTGCGAACCCCTTCCGCGGTCGCCCGTCCCGATCTGAATGCCACTGCACGGCAGTGCGTATCCCCCTGCCGCCGCCGTCTCGTCCTCCGCACTGCCCACCCGTCCTGCCCTTCCCGGCCGGCCGCTCCGGTCTCGTCGCACTGCATCCGACCGGCGGCTGTATTGTCCGAGCCCCGTAGGCGTGACAGTGGCCCGACAATGTCGGACAATCGGAGCGAAGATTTTGTCCGTCTGGTACACGAAGAAAGGGAAAAAGGCGGAAAGCCGTTTAACTGATAGATATTCGCTAGCTAGGCGGCAGAATGCTAGCCTGTTCCTGGCTAGCATCTATAACAAATACGGACATACGCATATAGCGCTCTCCTATGAGTCACCTATTTCCATAGGAAGATTCCTTTCCGGCTGACAAACATTGACATTGTTGTATGGTGTTGGGCGCATATAGGAGTTTAGAAAGCGCTATTGATGATAGCAAGCAGTGAATTTCAGCTGTAAAGCGGAATAAAGTTGAGTATATGCGTATGTCGTATTTGTCATATAGATGCTAGCAGAACATGTTGAGAATAATAGAATACTAGCGGTAGCAGAGGGGAGGTGTAATAGAGGCGGGGACGATAATCGATAATAATTACATGGGGTAGGTGGGGTGGGGGTCGTTATTTTGGCGGGATTTGTAATAGAGGGGGACGTACAAACCGTTATCTAGAGCTATAATGGAGGGAGGAGGGAGGGGAAGGGGAGGGAGTATGTTAGCCTACTTTCGGGGATTAGGGTCAGGTTGATACTCGCCTCGAATTGGGGCGGGAAAATACGTTTGAACATAAATGGAGCGCACGCACACGCCGACACGCACGGCACGACACTGCACACGCAAGCTCATGCACGCACGCACGCACACACGCAGCACGGACACGGCACACACGACCATGCAATACACGCAACACCACATACAGCAGTGCACACATAGCACACAGAACAACCAGCAACAACATAACACGCACAAACAAACACGCACACAGCACACACACGCGCCGCCTCGCACGCAGCGCACACCACACACACCACACACACACACGGAGCGCACACAGCAAACACAACACACCTAACAACACACACACACACGCACAAAGCACAACACAACACACACACAGCCAGAAACACACACACACATCAGCACACACCTACGACCACAGCACTCACACCAGCACACAGCCAAACAAATAACACTACACACGACACAGCACACGCACGACCAAACACAACACAGACCCCACACACACAGACAGCACACACACACAGCACAAACACAACACACACACACACAACAGAACACACACACACACACACACACACCACACAGCACACATCACACACACTACCACAAACAAATAAGCACACACACACACACACAAAAACCCAAAATTTAAAACAAAAAAGCAAAAGCACACACACACACTCAGCACGCCGTCACGTACAACGCTAGCATGGCACGCACAGACGCTCGCCGATACCCCTGAGCGCACGCGAACGCACGCGCATACACAGAGCACGCAGCTCACGAACACACCGCAAACGAACTCGCACGGCACGCACCGCGGGCGGCCACATAGAAGCACGCACAACTACAGATGCACGCACGCATTCACGTACACACCGCGCGCGCAATCACGGCACACGACACACAATGCACGCACGCACGCACGCACATAGAAGCCCGCACACATACAGATGCACGCACGCATACACGTACACACACGCCCGCACTCACGCACACACACCGATGCACGCACGCACTCACACACAAACGCTCACAGTGGAAGCCAGTCCGGTAAAATAATTAACATGCAAACAAGAAAAAACGCTTGCATCGTTACGGTCGTTCGAAATAACCGTTTACCGTCCGATCTACGAGAAAAAAATTGCTATAAAAAAATGCACTAGGCCAGGGTGATAACAATCATGTCTCACAAATCTTGTTGCCCAACTAATACTCCGTACAAACTGCTAATTGAAATTGAAATTAAATGGAATAGGAAAACAGAATTGCATACAACGTCTTAATTCTCTTTGGCACGGAAGATGGAGGGTACTGAAAGCAAATTAAGTCATTTTAATCATATTTATTTTTTCATAGATAATAAGGCTTTCAACGTTATGAACACATTTCCTTGCAGATTTAGTGCCTATGTATGGGCGCGTCTGTACGCGTGTACACGCGTGAGTGCATGCGTGTGTGTGGGGGAGGCGCGCGCGCTTGCGTACGTACATGCTTGCGTGCATGGATGCGTGCGTTCGTGCGTTCCTGCATGCGTGCACATGTGCGTTCGTGCGTGCGAACGTGCTTGCGTGCATGGATGCGTGCGTTCGTGCGTTCCTGCATGCGTGCATAAGTGCGTTCGTACATGCGTGCGTGCGTGCGTACGTGCGTGCGTGGCTGTCTGTGTGCGGGACTGCAGCATACGTAATCCTACTTACAACGGTCACCATCTCGTGTTTCCGTGCAGGCCTATATATGTGACGTAATCATATTCCAATAATTACAGGAGCGTAACCAGTAACGCCAACGACCCGCGCGCCCCACATCGGAAGATTAATGAACTTCTTTGTTCCAGTAATGTTTTCTGTGATTTCTGTGTTATTGCGTTTTTTGCGTGGATTTTCTATGATTGCTTTGACGTTGGCGTGTAGCAGTGAGACCACCAGCATAGTGCCCCAGGTTACCCACCAGATAAAGTATACACACACACACGCACACACACACACACACACACACACACACACACACACACACACAC